TAAGGTACGTTATCGATCGCGCATTTCTTTGCGTAGCGTGCTATTAATTATTTATTGAAACGTTCTCTCTCTCAATCGTGATATATCATTTTCTTAACCGTGATTAGTTAATTTCTCGCTCTCGCGAAATATGAAATTCTGAATGATCAAATGTTACTTTGGAGATATTTATTTGTTTTCCTCTCTGTTTTTTTTTCCATGTTCCTGATCACATACACACACACAGATATGGGTAACAGCGTACAGTGATGATCGTGATTGCATAATGCCAAAATACCCTTCACTTTTACAGAAAACGAATGCAAGAACGCTTTCATCGACGAAAACAAAAGAATTCCAGCGGCTCTTATGTATAATGGATATGCATAAATGTTACAATTATTATTACTATATTATAAAAAAATAAGGGCAATAGTACTATATTATCCGCAAGGAGAGCACCGCCAGTTCTTTAAATTTTTTTTTTAATTTTTTTTTCTCGAAGCAAGCATGTGCTTAGGTATATATAAGATAAGAGTGCATTAAGTTACATATACAGAATGTACGGTAATAACTGTAGTGCAGGTAGAGCGAGTAGAAGTCCTCTACCATTTTGCAGTTTTTTAAAATTAATTTCTCATTAATTATTGCAAAAATCGCAAAACCACGGATGAGACTTTTCTACTCGGTTTCACCCGCTCTACTTGCACACGCGAGATGACGCGGTTATTACCGAACATTTTGTATATACGCGAGCGCTGCATGTCCTGTCGATGTGTAAATAGGTAATTTTTATAAATTATTTAATTTAAAATGTGTCACATATATGCATGACGATGATGATGATAATGGTGATTCGATAATAAAGCGAGTGTTTCTCAATCTAACGAGTGCGCGAAGAAGTTTCTCTCGGAATATTTTTTACATTGATCAGTGTGTTTCTATTTGCATCGCTATTTCTCTCTCGAAAAAAAGAGAAAAGAAAAGAAGAAAACGAATACCGTTGAAGAATCGTGTCCCAATCCTCGTTATCTTGAAAGAAGCAAAGAATACTTAAGACGCCTTTAATTCAGAATCCACCTGATTAAAAAGACGATCGGACATGCGGCTTCGAGAGCGAATGTAAATGTAATTATGGCTTACACACGAGTATTGTCATAATCGTAAGAAGTCTTTCTCTCTCTCCCTCTTTTTCTCTTTCTCTCCGCATAACTGATAAGAAGGCTCTCTCGCCGGAGGGCACGCTTGACCAAGCATGTCAAGCGTAGAATTGCTTCTCCAGAGCGTTCCCGTTTCAGAGCCAGTATGTATATGTGTATGTATGCATGTGCGCGCGCGTTATTAGAACGAGAGAAATTTATGAGGAACTTTTCGGAGGGACAGGAAGAAACTAATCCATCGTTTACTTCGCACTTTTTCGCCGACTATTTCTAATCTTGCAAAAGGCTCTTTTTTTCTTGCACTAATGATTAAAAGCGATCTTTGCGAAACGCACAGTGTTGAGAGAAACCTTGGAAGTCCCTCTTCCCTTCATCTCATATGCCCTGAATTATCCGATTGCGAGAGAGCCAACCCTAAGGTTTACTTTATTATTACGTTTCTGAAGAAAGAAGAGAAAAATAGCTCTCCCATCGAAAAATTTCACGCTCGTTTTTTTTTTAAACCTAATTTAATTCTCGCATTATCTTTTATATATATGTCCGGTTTACACGTAAAACTTATGTCACTTGTATATCTGTTCTTCTCAAGGTTTCTAGAATCGCACACGCGATACTCTCGACAGTATCGTTAATCGAGATAAGATACAAATTTGGCATGGCCTCTTACGCATACTCGTGCATTTTTCTCTCTTACATGACATTTTACAATCTTGCATTCATTATCGCTCTTGAAAAGATCCTCTCTTCAGAGAAGAAACGGATAATTTTTTTTAACTTTACGCAAAAGTTATATATATATATATATTTTTTTTTTTCGCCACATACTTCCTGCTCCTGCCCCTCTCCCTCCCCCTCTTTATCTTTCCTTAACTTTTGTGATATGTAACTGTATCGAGAGCAAGGAGCTGCGTTTTTTCTTTTGCTATAATACATAAGCGAGAAAATAACCGACAACAAAGAGTGTGTGTGCGTGTGTGTGTGTGTGTGTGTGTGTGTGTGTGGTGCATTGCGCGGGTGCAATTATCGTTGAACTAAATATTTTTGTGTCGGATCTATATGTAAATATTATACGATATATTATATATATATACATATATATATATGTATGTATCACGTGCAAACCGCGCTCTTGTAACACCGTTCACATTAATTTCGCGATTAAACGAACAAGGCGGAGGCGGAAGGGAGCGTTTCTTAGTGCACGATTGTATTTATCGCAGATATAATAATACACATTTATATAGTGTTAACATCTCTTCTCTCTAAGGCGCGTCCTCTTTAGATGCCTAACCGATGAATGTATTTTCCCGAATCGAGAGCTAATGTAACGTGGTTCATCGTGCTGTTTCCCCTCCCATCTTTGTTTCTCTCACCTTTCCTCCGTCGTTAAGAAGAATAAAATTAATTCTCGATTCTCCCAATTCTTCTGTCACTCATTTCCTTTTTCTCTCGCTTATAAGTCTGAAGAACTGAAAGAATTTGTGTAAGAATTGTGTAGATATCGCCGCCGAGAGATTCTTGTGATAATCATGATCGATTCCGTTATTACAATATGTAACGTGCGATAATGTAAGAGCACCAGGATGTCGGGGCCGACGGATTTGACGAGCGCGGGGAAGACACGATAAAAGCTATTAGCGTTATTATTTTCCTAATATCTTGGGCGTGTGTTCGAAACACTGCACTTATTTACTGCAAAGTCAAGTAGGCGAATTGTAACGATTTTATGTGCACGCGCAGTCAGTTACTGTTGAAGAGGAGGTCGATCTACAACCTGTTTCTTTGTCTCTACGATGAGAGCGAACAAAATAAAAATTGAGATAAAGAAAAAGAAAAGAGATAAATCGTCGCATTTCTCGTTTCATTGTGAGACAATTCAGAGAATAGATTCTTTAGATTTACAGCACAGATTTCCGAAGACAGTTTCGTGTGAATCCATCACACGCGATATATTTCCTTCCCGCATCTCAATAGATCGAGTTCAGATCTACCTCATCTGAAACAGAACGCATAGCTAACGAGATAGAAAACAAATAAAAACGCATAGATGCAATTCTAAACATTTTCCTAGACTCTAGGTGGTAGTAGATTTGTATGCAGGGTGTAGAAGAGAGGCTGTAGCTACAAGGTACTATATATATATTGTAATACAATATTCTCCTCGGATTAAAGAATGTAATTTTAAGATATTATGATTAATATTCGATTTTATCGAGAGATGAGAATGCTTACATTGAAAAAAAAGAAAGAAGAACGCAGAAAAAAATCTCATTAAACGATTGTATTTACCTATTTATTTATTGTCGCACCGTCGTACTCTATCTCGGCGAAGTAATCTCCGAAAAAAATATATTTATAAAGTAACACACACAATAAAGTATATTATACATAAAACATCTCTTTATTAGTAACGTCCTAAATTTAATCATCCTACGCGGACGATATTGAAAGTCCAACTTTTTGAGAGAAATAGGAATATATCATCTCTCTCGATCACGATCTACGTGTTATATTTTCGCACTTGTAAGATCATCTTTCTTTTTCTTCTGCATATCTTGTCAAGGGGATTTGGACAGGATTATCTTCCTCGTACGAATAAAACTAAAAATGGACACGTCTTCCGAAAACTATTGTAAAAGAGTTACTGTTTTATTCTCGTCTCGATACAATTGTACAATATCGTACATATCAAAACGTACAATAATCGGAATACAATATAAGTAACATTATTACAACAAGTTTTCCTAGTCCGTCAGCTAAGAACAGGCAGATGTATCACATGTGCCTGTCGATAGAGCGCATTTTCTTTTTTTTTTCTTTTCACATACGAAATTTTTTCTGTTTTCGGCAGTGCGTGCACAATCGGTTTCATCGATAAATAACAAGTACGTATAGAAAACGGGAAATCTTCAACGCTTAAACAAATATCCTTATTTCTTTATCTTTAAAGATCAATATACGTACATCTTTCACTAAAGTAATAATTACTGCGCGTAAGAAAATATTTGCACATCGCATTTTTTCCCCAACTAATTTTTTACAATTTTATTTATCATGAGAAAAAATGTTACGCCACATTAAAATATATACATTAATACAAATGAAAATAATGTATTCTGAGATATTTTTTTTGGAATGAGGAGGGAGAATAAAAATTATATGTTAAAGAGAATGAGATGAGCAAATATCTCCCGCGTATTTCAACTTTAACGAGAATACGCGGATGTGTTTATACACATTTGCAAGATAGAGTGAAGACTGGCGGATATGTTGAAGCAAGTATCTGTAGCAAGTACATCGGCAGTGTGTAACGTCAGTGTAACAGTACTTGACGCGCAGAAAATTGCGCTTGTCTTCTTTTAATTGGCAGTAGTGTAATTGTTTCATCTCAAAGTATTCGCATGGTGAAAAGATACGTATCACTTATCAGACTCGAGAGATTGAATCTTCAAAATTTATGGAATCTTATTGTGTAAAATTATACGCGAAGAAAAATGAGAAGAAAACATCTCTCAAGTCGGATTGACCGATCGGACTCGGCGAATACTCGAGGATTAAATTAGCGTTAACGATCACATTAATAGCTATATACAGAGTGGTCCTCAAGTATGTTCCGAAAATCAAAGAAGTAATTCTAAGGAATTATTTCTTTAATTTTCGGAATATACTTAAGGATCATCCTGTATAACAATTGTAAAAATTACAGTGAACACACAACAACCCGGCACAACGCGGCGACTCGTTAACGTAATAATGTAGCGCACAGCACTATCATGTTCAATATCAGCGAGCCGCAGAGCAGCACGGAGAGCCAGCCGGAGCTCGCGACGATCGTTGTTGTTGTCGTAGCGCTATGACTTGGAAATGCCGATGTCAAATCGCTCCGATTGCCAACGTTCGCCTCGCGAACGTATCTCTCCTGTTCCTCGGCTCGCGACAACTGCGGCGAATTATTCGCACATGGCGTATGATACGACCACCGGATAGCGTCAGAGACGACGGAGCAGCGATCGAGCTCGTGCACGGACGGCTCGCGGGAAGGGGCAAAATTGGAGGAACCGGCCGATCCGAAGCCGGAGCTCTGGCTAGACGATCGTGAGAGCGTCAGCGGCGTCGCGGTCATCATATGGCTCTCTTGCCAGTAACCACCAGCTACCCATGAGGTCTGCGTCACCGACCTGAGCTTTGGCGGCGACAGAACGTACCTCCTATTGGACCCAGACTTTTTGAACAGATTCTCGGAGCTCGTCGCACTGTATACTCTCCGCTCGAAGATCGCCGGCGCCGCTTTCGCAGTATTCTTGCCGCATCTTGGCGAGTCCTCGCTTAGGAAGAGAGTGCTCAGACTGTGGTTCAAGCTATAGCCCTGCAGCGGACTGTTCTTGTTCTGAGAGACGGAATTTATATAATTATTGTTGCTGTTGTTGTCCGCAACGGTAATCGTAGACAGCTTTTGTCTCAATCTAAAGGTAAATGAAAATACATATAATAATAATAATAATAAAGATTAAGTATAAAATAATTTACTGATGTTCACGCATAATAATAAATACAATTATATATATAATAAATTGAATAGAAGTGTTTCGTTTAAAGATAAAAGTCAACATAGAATACTTGCATTGCTGAATGCGATTTGATTTCAGTGGAAGATACTTCGCCTGTTATACAGACTGATGATTCAACAGCATTGATTGTTCCATTAGAAACGTTGTTTTTGCTTTCACTATAATTCTCTAATGTGGATTGAGGTGCGACAACGGCTCGCGAACGCAACTTGAGCTTCTTCAATGCAACTGAACCGATTAACTTATTTTTATATGAAATAGGTTTTACACTCAAGAAACCCATAATAAATGCGCATGCTTCTATCTGAAAAAGAAAACAATAAATTAAATATTCGTGTAAAAATATATTTAGTGCCAAGAGATATTTTATTGCATTTAGCTCACTATGCGATGATATACGATGTGCTCCGTCGTAAGCCAGACATTTTGAAAAGTTGAATTTTTGACATACACAAAGATAATGATGCAGAACCATAAAAATATCAATAATACGTCGATTTTCTTCCCCTTTGCTGAACTTGCCCAACAAGCGCACAAGTGAAAGAATAATCCACTGATCGGCAACCATACAGAGTCATGATTGTATACGATAATCGGGATCAGGATCGTCGAAATAATTCGGGAAATTGCTTCCAATTTTCTTTTCTGGAAATTCTGCAAGAGAACTGACAAACGATTATTCGTTGCAATGATTACGTATGTTTACAATAGCTTCTAATTATGTATAACTTTTTTCAGTTGAAATATATTTCTTAAAAATATATACTTACACCGATAAGCATCCTAATCGGTTTCTGCCGAAAAAATAACATTTTGTAACGAGTGAGCCATAATGCCTGCCTACTCAATACGTTCCGTACTGTCAATTTGCAATTGTCGCACAGCGGATATTTGTTCTCCAGATATTCCTTAAATCCTTTCAGCTCGACATTGTAGCGTCTCTCACTCTTCGGTTCAAAATTAGATAACTCCAACAATTTTAGACTTTCTTGCTTGTTACAATCTACACAGAGATGACTCTTGGAAACATTGCGTGAATCGCTCTGTTCGACCAATCTGCAGTATCTTGTAGACATATTCGGCGTTGCATATTGTTCTGGGATATTGTACGCATAATCACCATTCTAAAATAAGTATTTCACATAGCAATATTCTGAAGAAACAAAAAAATTCTCTATTGTACAAGTATGCAAATAAGAAGTGAAAATTGGAAGTACAGATTTCTTCAACCTGTTTTTACCTTGGAGAAGCCGTTGTATTGCTCGCACCAAGGGCACAACCACCAATTCAAATGTTGCCTCCAGATCTTTGAATTCTCATTGCAGAACCAGCAATTCACAATTACAGGCCATCTCACTCTTCAAGATACATATTTGAAATGTTAGTTATATCTCAGAAAACGATACAAATACACATAGTGTTCCTAAAATGACTATTTATTTTGATGAAATAAGAGATATTTTTAAAAATTGTTATACTAGCATAATGATACATTCACTGTTATACAAATTTATTTAGGAACACCTTGCATATAAAAATGTACATGATATGCGAGTATTTTGATGAGTAACTCACTTTAGCCTGTGGAAGACCGTGAGACACGTAACGAGGATTAAAAGCGCTGGAGCGAGCGCGGATACGCGATCGAATGCTAAGGATTCAAGATCAGATCCCGCCATCGTGTTCGTTGATAAGAGCGCTAAAGTTAAGAAGTACAACGAATGTGCGACAACGTTTCTCTAAAAATCTGCAGATCTCGAGATATATATATACATATATATATATATTTTTTATTACTGCATTAACTGTATGCCGCGTCTCCCGCCAAGCGTACGTAGGGCGAGCACGCCATAACCTGAAAGATAATCCCCATTTCCTTCATTTGTACGTTCAAATGGAACATTGGCGGTGATGGCGACGCAAGGCCGTCTCCTCGAATCTCACCGATCGTCGCACGTTGATCCTTCTGCTGACGAATTGTTATTCTAAAATCCTAAGCAAATACGTCCCGTTGTCACGTTGCACGCGGCACGTGCCGAATGCCGAATGTCCCGACCATAGACTAGATATATAGATATGTAAGCATATCTATTATATATTATGGCCCCGTCCGTTGCCGCATCATCTAGTTTTGCGTCTTGCATAGTAATATCAGTTATTACTATAGTTTAGTGATTTGTCTTTTCAATTGTGGCGATTTTGTGGCTAGGAAATTTTCTAATATTACCAACTTCATTTAATTACTAACTTCAATCTTGAACAAGAACCTAGTTGCAACAAAGAAAAGAAGAGAAAAATATAAATATTTATAGATTATTATATTGTTACATCGACAATTATATTTTATTAGAAATTTTTGATTATAACACGGTATGTATGAGAATACAATATATATTTAATTATTATTGTTAAGCTGGTTATAACTTTTTTTAAATTTTATTTATGTATTATGATAAATGTTCAATTTTATCCGCTCCACTTAGATTTTGACAAAGATACACTTTTTCGATGCTTTTTTGGATTGATAACCTAAGGTTTGATAAATAAACATTTCTTGATATAAGGATAGATAGATAGAAAGAATAATAAAGGGTGTTAAAGATGTAATTTTTAAGGCTAGGAAACCTGTCATATATTGATGGAATAAAATGATATAAGCATATATATATATTACATACTTAAAAAAATATATATATATATATTTATATATTTATATATTAGAACTTTCTTTAATCTTATCTTGCGAGAAATGATAAATATGGTTTTTTATATTGATCAAATGTTCCTTATTTCTTTTTTCCTATATATATAATTTAATTTATATATTAGAACTTTCTTTAATCTTATCTTGCGAGAAATGATAAATATGGTTTTTTATATTGATCAAATGTTCCTTATTTGATTCAATCTTTTTTCCAAATTTTCAGCCTTGTCCTTGTATTCCATAGTATTCATGCGATTCGCTTGGAAAGTACAACCGCGAAATTTGTTACTGTTCGCGTGCCACATGACTAACACCGGGGCCCAATTAACGCAAGGTTACAGGTTTGTCGACTACCACTATATTCAACAGGAAGAGACCGATCAGAAGAAGTGATGTAGGTAATCAGTAGTCCTGCAAAAAAATGGTCTGCGCGATTACAAATGCAAAACGGCAAAATTAATAAAATTTGTCTCTTTATAATTTGTAGGCTTTAAAATAACCATAATTAAATATGTACATGTATATAGTAAAATGACAATAACATGACGCCGATAGAGACATTTTTATTCGAGAACAGAGTAAGAAAAATTATACGTAAATTTAGAACACGAGTATAAAAAAATCTGAAAAAAAATCTGATACAATCATAAAAAACTCTTGCAATTTTTCTCATTTACATTATCATGTGTAAATTATATGCGCAAATATATAATAAAATATATTATGTATATATA